CATCCTTCCAGCCTCCGAGGTTAAAGGACCACCAGTTCTCCTCTGGCTGCTCTTTGTTTGGTTTTGATCTATTAAACACGCATGCTTTCTTTCATTTAACATGCTTTGCAAAATTAGAGACCTTAATTGTTCTGAGCAACAGAAGTATTCAGGTCACATAGGGTTGGGTACCCTTACTGCTGACAAGTGTTTCCTCACTGAAGTCAAGAACAAAATCTTTAGTCCTCTCTGTAGAACTACAGGCAGAGGTTTTCCACTCTATCGTCCCACCCAGTTAGATTGAAAGCAAATGATTAGGCACTGTTTCTGGGGTGTATCCTATGCGTCGTAAACCTTGCCTTTTTCTTTACTTTTTTATCTTCAATTCTATATCAGTCTCAGGTACACTGTGATGTAACTTCTTCCGTTAGATAAATTCTGTTACAAACTTATTTTTTTTAAGTGTTCTTGTGATAATATGCTGTTTTCCCACTCTAGAACTTTTAGAAACTATTCTAACTGGTTTACATTTCCTAATTCTTTCCTTCTTTCAATTTGCCAGCACAATATATGGAGCAATAAAATGTATATCCCATAAACCCTCTTTATTCTCCAGGTACTGTGCCAACTGACCCCTTCCTTCCATTTTAAAAGGTTATGAACAGATCCAGTAATGGTAGGAACGGTGAGTGGGTTACAGCTCCATGATAACGAGCAGGGTTTGGGGATTCGACAGACTTGGGTTTGAATCCTGCCCCTAGAGTTTTGTCTTAGTGAGATTTGAAGCAATCTGTGCTGCCTGTCTGTGCCTCGGTTTATTAATTTGGATGGTACTGTTTAACTCATGGAGTCCTTGTGAGGCTGGAATGACAGCATGGGTATGAAGTGCCTTTACATCCAATGTGTAGCCAACAGGAAGTGCTCAGAAAGTGGGGTTTTGCTTTGGTGTTGTTACATCCTAGTTTCTAATGGTGTGAGCTCCACATGACTCCAAGGTAATGAACGCACCTCACTGTCCCAGAAAGAGCTGACTTCATTGCCTGAATGATAGACAATGCTTTCTCCTGTTAACTGTACATTTCTTGACTCCAAAAAAGTATTTCTAAAGAAGGGCCCTTCATTCCATAAATATTCATAGGCGCACATCCTGTGCATGTACCTGGGCTAGGTTTTCTAGGCGACAAGTAAGCCTGGTCCTGGCCTTCAAGGAGCTTACAGTCTAGGTCAAAACCAAAGTCAGCTCCAGTGAAATGTAGAAAGTACATGTCCTGAAACATTCTCAGATCATGTGCTGTAGAAGGTCAAGAAGGCCACATTGTTTCTAGCCAGAGATGTTCAAAAGCAAATCCCCCCACCAACTCCTGCAGGCAAATTTGTTCTTCCCCCAGCATTCCCATCCTTGCAAATGGAAACCAGCATGTGCTTGTTATCCTAGCTGGCGCTCTGGGAAGGGCACTTTCTGGCCCATTCTCTCACCCTACCTTCTAACCAGGTGCTCACCAGGCTCACTTTTTCACCACCTTAGCCTTCACTAAGCCTCTCCATCTTTCTTTACTTACCGACTGGCTGAGCTCTGTGGTTCTCACACCTACGTGCCTTAGCACCTCCTGAAGGCTTCTTGCAGCACAGATGTGGGAGGGATGCTTCTTCTAATGCAGTACCTAGTGGTGGGGCCTGAAGGTCACATTTCTAACAAGTTCCAGGTGATGCAACAGCACTGTCTTCCTAACTATAAACCTCTGTCTCTCATCTTTTTAGGGTGGGGGTGAAATCCAGGGCCTTGCATATATTAGGCAAGTGCTTTACCACTTACCCGCCCTTTACTACCTGTCCTGAAACTGTATCCTTCTCCTTCAGAGTCTCCACCCTGCTCTCAAATCTGGAAAAAATTAAATATAAATCTCTTTGGATCGCTCACAGAATAAATGTCACAGTTTCTTGCATAGCTTACAGTAACCTCAATTACTCAGCTCTTTTCTGACTCTCGCCTCCTGTTTTGCTGACCCCATACCCAACCCCTGGCACATCGAATGCCTGAAGCTTCTTAATAACCATACCATGTAGTGTGTTGTCTTTTGTTCTGCTGCTCACTCTGTCTGCGAGGCTCAAATCCCTCTCTTTACCTGCTGACTCTTACAAGTCCACCACATTGGAGAAGCATTCAGTCTTCAACAGTAGGGACAGATGCCTTACTGGATGCCTTCTGTGCCATGGTGGTATCCTGTGTGCCTGCCTACATCTGTCTCATCCACAGAACTCTGCTTCCTAAGACGGAGAATCAAATCAAGTATTTTCCCTCCATAGCTGCAGCCACAGGCAACACATTGCCTGACATAGTTGGAAATCAGTGGATCTTGAATGAAACGAGAGATACAGGAAGGCTCCTTGGGAAAGAGAGACATTTTAGCCACATTGGGATTTGGACAGGCAGAGACAAGTGGAAGAACATTCCAGAAGAGAAAGTATGAGCCTGAAGTTGGACTTACTTGGGCTTTAGTGTGAAGGCGCAAGAAGGGGTCTGATTTGTCTGACCATAGCACGGGTGATCTTCAGCACCAGTTGAAGGAGACAGTACAGTAGAATTAATAGGGGATTGAAGAGACTGTATATAGGAGTCCAGGAAAGACCCAGATCAAAGAGGACATGGAGGATACCATTTACCAGAATCTAGTTGTCATGGGATGGATTGGGATGGATAAAGAAAAAAGAGAATCAAGTGTGGGTCTGGCCATGGCAATGTAGGAGACCATTAGGACATATTCCAGTACCTTCTTTATCAGTATCCCTACCCATCTTATCCCTGTGTTTATCTGCAATGATTAATAAATGCCCATTGAATTATGAGTGAATGTATGCAGCAGAATTAGAACAAAGGGCAGGAGTGATTTGCATGAGCCAGGAATAGGAGAGGTAGGGCCTGGTAATGTTAGGTAGTGTCATTGCTGTCAAGATGCTACCTGTGTAAATAAGAACAAAATGAGAGGAAAAGCATCCTTTTTGAGGTCTATAGGAGGACCAGGTATGGGACCCCCAGGGTTAGGTAGCAGGATCTCAGGAGACCCGTGCTGTTTATTAGAAATGGGTCAAGTCTCCAAGTTTGTTAAGGTCAAGTGATACCCTGAACACAATGCTTTAATGGTTGCTTGTGGCCCATCATAACTGATTTTATTGTATGGTGCATAACTACAAAGTGTATGAAAGGGAAATGTACCTGCCCTCACTAATTCAATAAACATGAGCTTTAGCACCTTTACTCTATATTTAAAGAAACATCTAGAGAGACATCTACATTGTCACTGCTAATCCATTTTCCTTATGAAACAGACAGCTTTATGATCATTATGACACTGTTCTCAAGAATCTAACCATTACTATTCTTCCATTAATTTTAACACACTGGTGTGTGTTTAGAGGGTATAATATAATGTTGAATAGGTGAAAGAAACAATGTTTCTCTTAACCTGTTCTACTTTTCCTTTGCAATACTAGGGGGCTCTCTTATGTGACTCTTATGTGTTCAGGGAAATAGCTGAATAAGAGTAATCTAGATGAAAGTATGAATGATCTTCATAGTAAACATATACATAGACAAGAGTTATTTTTCTAAGCAAGCATCTTTGGAGATAAACTAACCATGTGTATGGTCCCAAGTAAGTAATTCTATTAGTCAAGCCATCAAAACTCAAAATTAACAATATGCCCAAGCCAGAAGCTTTACTACAGGAAACAAGCATAGGCCACAGGCATGGAGAGGATGAACAGGAGCTATAGAGGCAGGATTCAACTGCCTTTGGTGTCAAGCTTGGGGAAGGGCAAGCCATTATCCACCCAGTCTGCCCCTGACTAAGGAAACACACGGCTTAGGAACTGCAAATCGTTTGCTTTTAAGACTCAATTTCATTTCTTCAAACAATCACTGGCACTGTGAATAACTAATTAAATGGTTTGGACAGTGAGCTTCTGAGGCAGCAATCTATGAAGCATGTACTAGTCAGAATTAATTCACTGAACAAATATTTATCAAGCACACATGCATGTGTCAGCCCCTGAGCCAGACTTGCAGGAACAAGATAGCCCAGAGTTCTGTCATGTTTCAGACAAACCTGGAGGTCCAGACTCCTTAATTTATTGTTGTCATTGCTACTGTGCCTAGCATATGAATGACTACTTTTGTTCCAGGTTTTCAACTTTAACTAGTTCATAAAATAAGAAATACTGCACATCTGATGTTCATCCAAAATAGTAATCTTTAATGTGCTTTAAAAAAAAAATTCCCATGTCCATTTTGATGGGGCCAATTAGAAATTCTGGGGAAAGTGGAATTCAGGAAGTCACGGAGCCTTGAGAATGCTTGGAATTTCTAACAGATTTTACTAAACATTTTCTGTATCATGACATGTTCCAGAAGACCATAAAAGTTAGTTTATAGGAATATAAACTACTTTTTGCCTTGCTGATAACTGCAAATAAATAATTCAGATGACCACCCACCAAAAAACCAAAATGTTTAGTAGTTTGTGTTTCCCATGAAACATTTCTCCTATAAATTTTGATAATCAAATAAAAAAATAACAAGAATGCCTTGTTTTATCCTCACGTTCAAATTCTGTAGCTCTAATTTCAAGTATTTCCATAAATCCTAATAATGTCACAGATATATCAGGTAATAGTTAACGTCTTTTCTAGGTGTGAGTTTAAAGGAGGGGATTAAAGGCATTCTTTGACGTGCATGTTGGTACAGCACCACCCCCATTTCTCCCGTTAAAATTACTTCATCTGTCATGTTGTTTTCTGGTCGCAATCAACTAAATTAGACACAGAGCTATAAATTTGGAAGGTGCTATTTAATTCGCTGAGGAACCTTGGGTAAAAGTTCATAAATGTTGCACAAAACCCAGCTGTTTGGCCTGGCTCCAGAAGAAGTAAGTAGGGATAAAAGGAACTGGGCAGATGACCTTTTAGCTTAATTCGGCTTGGTAAATGGGATTCTATACATGCTAATTTTGTACTTTTTTTAATAGATGGAACTGATTAAAAATATAAGTACTGCCGAACAGCCCTATTTATTCACTCGACATGTTCATTTCCTCAACTTCTCAAGGTAAGACAGTTTTGCCTTAAATGATTCTTTCCTTTCTTTTAAATACTTAGCTTCCTGCTAATGAACAATTATTTTAAAAATCTGCGTTTATTTACAAGGTAGTACAGTTTCCTTGAACAGACATTTGTAATCCATTTATTTTTGCTGCAGTGGAATACAAACTTGAAATATTTGGACAGAAACTTCATTTCTTTCCAGAATACCATCTAAAATGTGATAAGAACTTGGAATTATTTTTAATGAGAAGACATTTGACCTGGCAGATTTTTGAAAACAAAGCAAAACGAGATTGGGTTTTGTCCTGAAACAAACAAGGCAAGAAATAGATATTTTACCATAAATATTTCATGGCAACGTTTGTACAGTTTGAACCTACACAGAGCTCTGGGAATAGCCTAGTGGTGGAATAATGCATATTTTATAGGCTCCAGAGATCTAGTGTGAGACCAACCTCTTTTTCTTTACTTCCTTTGATTATTCTAAGCCTTGCATATTTGATGGCGGTGAGGTATTTTAGAATTTTGGTTTTTTCTTCAGTGTCTGTGGCCTTCTGATAATAACACAGCCCTTCAAATCCAGGTGTTCTGGACCTTCTTTTGGTTAGAGTGGTGACTTCAAGTCCTGAGCATTCTCTTCCCCAGCGATCTGTAAGCGATGGTTTGTTGTTACTATGCCGAACTCCTGAACAAGTACCCTTGGGCTCCTGTTCTCCCTGCTGGCCTGGCCTGTACTCAGTTACCTGCCAGAGCGCTGAGTCCACAGGCAGAGCTGCTGAGCAACCCAAGACACCTGCGCTGTCTGAGCAGCTGTCTGGTAGCATTTCCCTCACTTAAACTGGGATAACCATACCTCACAACTCCTCTCTGACCTAGTGGATACCACCCGCTGTTGGTGCTGACCTAGTGGCTCACCATGCCCTGCCCTGAGCATTCTCCAGTGCTGCTCTGCGCTGTGATGCCTGGCAGCCCACAGGACCGGGCACAGGTTTCAGCCTCCTTCAAAGGATTCCCCTGCTGGCTGCAGGCCCTGTGACAATTACGTGTAAAGACAGTGAGATTCAGCAAGGTGTGTTATTAAGCAAAGAAGGAGAAATTGCTGCCTTATCTTTATAACTGAGCATTCCGGTAACCCAGGTTCCTTGGACAGTGAAGAGGACGCCTGCCAATTACTGCAGGCCAGGCGGTGAGCAGCTCAGGGTGCTTCTTCAGTCACACATATAAGTTGGATCCTTGCTGGGTTGGCCAGTGGGTGCCTCCTGCCTCTTCCCTCCAGAAGGCCAAGAACAAGTCATTAGACAGAGTGAGATAACGAGGGCTTGTTAACTCCCCCAGGCCCCAAGTTTTGTGATCCCTTTCCCTGGTCCTTGCTGGGCTCCCGTGCTCCCTTCCACATTCTCGTGACTCCTTAAACTTCATCCATTACCTGTTTTGCTTCCTGGTCAGATCTTTACAGCTGAACAAACTGCACCACAACACATTGGAATAATCACATCAAGACAGTGTGCACCCGAATGAGAAACCCAAAGCTGGTGTCTTAACTGGCTCAGCGGAGCACAGCAAGGTGGCCATGCTTTATCATGGCTCCTGCCCTCAAGTACACGTGTAAGAGCAGAATCTTGATTGCTATAATTATGAAAAGGAAAAACTGCCTTTTAGAAGACAGCACACCTGCAGAAATGGCTTAGATCTAGCTGTGGAGATCCCTGGGTAGGAAGGCCTGCCTTCCCCAGGGTCAAAGATTTGAGCAAGTCCTGCACACTCTTGGGGACGAGGGAGGAGAGAATCCATTTTTCCATCTTTAAAAAAAGCGCAGCTCCTGTCCATCCCTGCCTTGAAGAGATGCTGTGACCATGTGGTTTAAAGCCCTGTGAGCAAAGCCTGTTATAGGAGTTCAAAGGGACGCCTAAGAGTATTTCTGTGAACGCTTTGGACCGAGACCCGCTCAGCCCCTGCCCATCGCTGGCCATGACGCATCCAGAGTGGGAGCAGCCATGGCGGTGGGCAGGCTCTGCCTCTCTGCCTTCCCCCCAGCCCATCCGCTGGGCACAGGAGGGAGCAGCTTCTCTCTCCCTTAAGCTGCACTGGGCCTGAGGCTTCTAGTGAGCACTACACATGCCCCTTGCCTTCGGGAGCCCTTACATTCTTCTTCCGCTTAGACAGCAACGCAGTGAAGTGTGATGAAGGTAGGGAGAGGGGGTCGCAGGGTGCTGTGCAGGGAAGATGGAGGCAGCACGTTACCTGCCTGCAGGAGGACACTAGGACACCTCTGCTGGGGTGGCGGTCAGCTTTGGACAAGTGAAGCGAATGACTCCCAGGACAGGACCTGCACCTGCAAAGGGGGGATCCAGAGAGCAGCTGACTAGGGCAGTAAGTGCAACCTGTGGGGCAGGTCTCCCAGACTGGGATAGTGCAGCGTTTGAAGCAGAAATTCAGGCATTGGCCTGATGCCCCTGTGACCACCTCCCACACAGCCCCGGCAGGCCCTTAGCTACAAGACTTCTCACAACCAAAAAGAATGATGAGGAGAACTTGAACACTTGAGAAGCCCACTGTTATACTCACAGAACCCAGGCAGTTAAAAATCAGCGTTACCTTTCTTTAAAGGGAATATCTTTAGATAATGAAACCATCATAGCTATGAAGGGCAAATTGTGGCTGAAGAAAGCCCCAAAATATACAATGGGCAAAGAAAAATGGTAACTAAATAGGGACTTGTGAAGGCAAGCTTTTAACATACTTTAAGAAATAAGTTCTAGTTTTTAAATTCTAAGACCCAAAGATAATTACGCTGCTCTTAAGAAGCCTGCCTTTACACCTGCGTATATTGCTTGTTTCCAAAAAGGAAGTTTCTAGAAGAATTGATGCTATGACCTTTGTTTTCTGTTGATATTTCACATCCTGTGTAATCACCAACATGCAGCAGGATCTGTGCTCCTGGGCCACCTGTAAGGATCAGTCCGGTGTCTCTCCCCACACCTTTAAGGCACATAAATTTTCTGAACTTTTGAAAGGTACAGCATTAATCGAAACTGAATGTCCTCTATTTTTTTTCACCGTTAAATGTAGCGTTCCTCCTTGCCATGTAGACACTCAGAGGGATGTGAGATGCTTGTGGTGATTTAGGAGCTGACTTGTTTCCTTTGCTCCGCATCTCAGCCCTTTGCTCCCTTCCTTCTTTTCCCTCTCAGAGTCAGAAGGAAGCTTTTGGCCATGCGCAGCTTTATTAATGTAACTGTAGGAAGCGACTGCATTAGATCAATCAGGTGTTTCTACAGTTGCCTCGGGGAAGGTTTCCTGCCAAAGAACATCAGAGCACAACTAGCTCAGCAGAGATTTCAGGCTTTGCTTTGGATTTATGGGGGTTTGGTGGGTCGTTCTTTCACACCATTTTTTCACTCCCTGGAAGTTAGGGCCAGACCAATGTTTTTCCCTAGGATGACTCAGAGAATGGAGCCCAACCCACCTGGGCTACAAGATGCTGTCACTGCTGGGACGTGGGAGTAGGGTTTTATGTTTGCCTTCTGTGGTTTCAAATATCTTTTTCTGGTTGCAATTTTAGGATGCAAGTTTTGAAAAAAAAAAAATATAACTTTCTAACATCAACAGTGTCCCCGGCTGTGTGCGTGTCTTATATCAACACGCCAGAGAGACGCAGCAGCCACGACTTGCCTCTCCCTGCCCCTACTAGTTACTTGTTTTCTAATCTTTTGTGCAGGAGTCCAGGGATAATTCATTTTTCAATCTAGAATTTCTCTCACCCACTCACTTGGGTTCTTGCAGAGAAAACTTTATGACGTTTTACGTCAGAGCCTGATGCTGTCAGAATAGTCCAAATGAACTACAAGAGTGATCAACAGGAAAAGCAATCAAACTACCACTTCTTGCCTGCGGCCCCGCCCCTCCCTTGTTTCCATCCTATTTCCCCATCACTGATGGTAACCACAGCTGGTCATGCCATGACCAACTTTTAAAATCACAATATTTAAAAATCAATCATCACCAGGGAAGCAGGTGGGCGCAGTGCCCAAGGGGAGATGTTCCGATGTTTTCTCTTGTCTCTTCCGTGGAAGTCTTCGTGATGGATGTGAACAGAGCTGCCTTCTGACAGCATAATTTAACAGAACGAATCAGATTTTTGCCATTTTCATAATTCGGTTTGGTTTCCACACCTTACTTCCTTGCCTGTGTTTATTATTATCATTGGCAATGTGGTGCCTTCTGGTTTCTGTGCCCTTCAAATCTTGCGTAACAGTGACAGAAGTTCAAACTTTGATGGCAACTCCAAAGGAAAAATTGATGCTCATGGTTATTTCATGTTGTCTTCACCTACTTAAACTGACCCTAAAAGTTCTATTTAAAAGCAAAAGGTTTCTTCTCAGTTTACTGTACTTAAACACTGCTGGACTAATTTCACTGTGCACCCACGTGAGCCCCCCCAGTACTGGTGGCCCACCAAGGACAAGGATGATTGAGACTTTCTCTCACCTTGCCTCATTTCCTGTCTCTTTCCTGCTGCTCCTTGTCAGCTGTTTGTTTCTTTCCTTATCACCTTACCTTACTCTCTGAGCAGGAGCTCTAACAGCCATGGCTTACCCGTCCCCTCCTGCCACCTCGTCCACTCAGCTTCTCACAGCAAATGCAGCCACCTCTTTTCCCTTAGAACATGCCGGAGCACTGACAGCACTCACTCTCTTCTGCTTGTGTCTTGTGATGGGAAATGCTGTTCCAGGTATCCAGGAGCTGATGCTTGGGGTTTGCGGATGGAAGAGGGTCTCCCACCCAGATATGGTCAGCAGCTGTCGCGGGCCCTAGTTACTGTGACTGGCTTCTAACATCTACCCTTCTCCTTTAGGCAGCTCCTCATCGAGCCCCCCAAACAGTCATGTTTGACTTAGTCACTTTCTTGTCACTGAGATGCAGTGCTCAACACCCACAAGGAAGAGAGGTTTTTTTCTGGCTCACACTTTCAATTCGTGGTCTGCTGGCTCCAAGGTGGAAATGGCATGGTGGAAGGGCTGCCATGGAGGAGAGTTCCTCCCAATACGGTGACCCAGAAGCAGAGAGAGGAAAAGGGAGGTGACTCGAAGGTATAACCTTCCAGGTTACACCCTCAGTGACCTGCCTGTAACCAGGCCCCACCTCCTAAGAGCATATTCAGCTCTGATCCAATCACCTTCCAAAAGCCCCGCCCTGAATACATGAGGCTCTTGGGGAACATTCTAGATCTAAACCACAGTGGCCTTTCTCTCACTTCAGAGAATTTCCATCCCTCACCAACAAGCATCCAAACCATGGGCCTCCAGCCTGCGGTACTTTTCTTAGGCAGCAACAAAAAACTAATCTCTCCTTCCCGGCAGAGCTTTAAGAGAGGTACTTTCAGTGTAATATTGCTTCCCAGGGATTGAGGGGAGGAGAGGCAGGTATGTGCTGTTTCATGGGGACAAAGTTTGGGGTGATGAAAGAATTCTGGAGATAGTGGTAATGGTTGCACAGCAAGGTAAATGTACTTAATATCACCGAATTGTACTCTTAAAATTGGTGAAAGGGATAAATTTTGTGTTATGTATATTTTACCACAATTTTTTTTTTAAAAAAAAGCTCTACTTTCAATGAAGGGAAATAAGTCTTCTGACAAAAGCTAAAAAAATTTTTAAATTTTTTTTTTAAAGTTAAAAACATTAAATTGAAGCCCAAAAAGGCTACAGGCTAAGCTAATCATTTGTGTCACGTGGCCCAAACAAAAGGAAATATGCATAGAAAAAAGACTAAGGTAATGGATAGGTATGGCGAAGATTCTTCAAGCTCTTGACCTGTAGGAAGGCATTCACAGGAAGGTTCTGGAATCTTCTCTAAAGGGTTTAAACATAAGACAGAGTGCAGTGCTGGGGAGGTGGTGGGGTACCAGCTATTGGCACCCTTAGAGTGGAATCTTACATGAGCAGCAGATTCATGTGACCCAGAGACTTTATAGGTATGACTAGAAATTTGACTAAACTTTGACTAGAGTTTTTGAGTTTTAAAAATGCTGAGAGGAGAAACTGATCCTGCAGAGGATAGAGTAAGGGTGGAGAAATTTGTTTTGCTTCCCAGGCACCCAGGTACTTGGTATATTCTAGTGTTGTAACTATGGTGGTGTTCTGGCCTCCTTGTATACTGACATGCCACTCAGATTTTACAAGTTGGGAGGAAGCTGTGTGTTCTAAAAGGATGAAGGTTGGCAGCCTGAAATCATTATTGTTACCTCTAGAAAGGGAAAGATATCCATCAGATACTTCTATTCATGGTTAGAAATTTCGAGACAGAGGGTGCTATATTACCTGGTACTTGACAGTGAACTTAGGCACCATCTAGAACTTCTGTTTTGGAAAATATTTTGGTCAGCTTTCCTACTGTTGGATCAAAATGCCTGATATGCACAATTTAAAATGAAATGGCTTAATTGGCTCACGGTTTCAGAAGTTTCAGTCCATGGTTGGCTGTTTCCATTGTTATGGGTCTGAGGTGACCAGAACATCATGGCATAGGGGCATGGTGGAATCAACCTGCTCACTTCATGGTAGCCAGAAAGCAGAACAGAGGAATAGTACTGGAGATGAAGGGGCCAGGAAATATATAATCCCCAAGATTTCACCTCCATGACCCACCCATACATGCCCAGATGTATACTTTACTAGACTCCTCTCAAGTCTGACAAGTTGGCAATAAAGTTTAGCTGCCACAAAACATTCTGGAAATCTTGCATTGGGTTTCACTGTATAAGTAGGAGCAAGTCCATATTCAACTAGCTGTGTCAGTCCTCGTGTCTATGACCTCATGGCAGTCATGAGGCTGAGGACCATCTCCTGGTTGGAATTCAGCTGCTGAGTTGCATGACTGAGTCACAAAGATGAAAGTACTTTTGAGGTTTGTAAAAAGCATGACACAGTTTTGAGGGTTGGGTTGAATTCATATTGGCATACATGCTTTGTCTTCCTAGTCCCTAGCCTTATTAATTTAGTTATTGTTTATCATAGATATGAAACCCAGATCAATTAAAAGAGGATGGTAAATCCAGGATATAAATGGCAGCTCCCACATCCTGGGACTATAGTTAGTTGCTCACACAATAGTATGAGTGTCACTTATAAACATCTGGGAGCTGAACAAGATCCATTGGCAAGGCTCATCTTGCTCATGAACAGAAAGTTCTCTTACTTGGCAGTACTTGGGGAGCTCAGAATATCGTGCATGCATCCTGGTACCCAAAATTCCACTATTGGAGAGTTATTCCTTTGGCGTCTTCTCTCTAGAGATCCTCTTTTAAAAATGCAAATAAATCAGTTCAACATTATATGAACCACTGGACAAAAAAAGCATTGGTAGTTTGTTGTTTCTACTTTCCTTTGGCAGCAGACCCTGTGATACAGGTAGAAATATAACGCCTGCAACATATGCGCCCAGATATTTACAGGGATATCTTTGGTTCATGAACTTACATTTGTTTTAGATTTTGGGGAAGATGGCCACATTTATGTTTATGTGGGGGAGGACAGCCGTGGTTGTCTTTGTCACCCAATGTGGAGTTTGTGAACAGAAACACAATTTTGTCAAATGCTTTTGCTTGAAAACAGAATTGTTTGCAAACAGAAGCATTCGTGAACCAAGGCCTTACTGTATTTCTGCTGTCAGTTTCTATTTGTTGAGCAGCTGCTATGCACCACACCCTGTGTTAAATGATATAGTCCCTGGCTGCAGGGCGCTCACAGTCCAGTGAAAGAGACAGATCTGTCAACACAATATTGGCAAGAAGACTCAGGACATAGAGTGGGGAGGGACAGACAGTGTTCTGAAGATGTGATTGGGGTGCCCCCTGGGTTTCCAAAGGTGAACACAGTCCAGTAGGTGGAGAGGGGTAAGAACCAGGTCATCAGTCCGCTTCCTCAGAGCTCTTTCTGACTCCAGCAGAACGTCAAGGGATCCTCAGCAGAAGGTCACAGGGTCATAAGGTCTTCAGGAGTCACCAGAATATAACCTCTGCCTTGTCCATAGTGTGTTCCCTCAAGAGTCCTCAGGACCACTGCAAGCAGTCCAAAGAGACAGGGAAGAATCCTTAGGAGAACTCAGTTGGCCTGGTCATCTTGCCTTGTGAAGGCCTAGTCCTCAGGCCAGGTCTCAGTAGTGTTGCCTGATCCCTGTGTAGAAGAAATGAAAATAGGACATCTAGATACTTATTTTATACTTTAATCTAAAAGTACGTTCCATCACTGGAGGATAGCTGTGTAGATTTTTGTTTCATTCTTGATACTTTCCTCAACTTTCCATGGTCAAGAATACAGATTCTACAGCTAGATTACCTGTGTTCATCACCTGGCTCAGGCACAAATTATGTATCCTCTCCCTACCTTAGTTTCCCCAAGAAGAAATTGAGATATCTGCTCCATGGAGGTGCCAGGGGCTTCAGGGAGTTGGCCAAGCAAAGTATTGAGAACATGGTACAGAGTGAGGATCCAGGGCAGGTTGGCCACTGTCAACCCACTCACAGCAGAATGCCTCACCTGGAACTGTAGCAGTTACATGATAGAGGTCGCATTCATCTACCAAGACAGTCAGAACTAGCAAGTGTACTGAAGCATCCACTGGAGACCACCTGCATGCCACTTGGTTCTGCCTACCACTGGGACTACAGATTTCAATACAACGTTGTCTGCCCTCAACAGACCTATGTCTGAGAAAACCAGACAACATCTATACCTTGACTCTGACAGAGAGCATGGTTTCCTGTACTATGAAACTGTCCTCACAACTTCTTGACAGAGACTTGTATCAGGTGTCATGTGTTAGGTTTTTTGGCACAGATAAAAGCAGAACAAAATAAAAAATATCTTTATTGTGGGCACAGAGAAGACCACAGCAGAAAGGAAGGACATGGAGCTTCTGAGGGCTTGGCCAGGGGAAACAGACTATATAGGGCCAGGCTAAGGGTGGGATTTAGGGGATAGTCTGTGCGACTTGGTGGGCAGTGATTGGAGAGAGGGCCGGAAGAGGGAAACAGGATGTTGTGAAAAAGGAAGTAGGAAGTTGTAATATGACTGGCGAGGAGGAAGGCGGAGCCTGCCACATGACCTCCAGTGAGCCATGCCATATTGGCTCACCACTATGTTGACTTAGCAGAATTTTTATAAAGGCGGAAAACCCATTAGCCTGGTCTCTACTTCCTGTGTGATCACAAAATGCCCATCAGGTAGCACTAGGCTTGCTTATGCAAGTGCTCATGGGCACCTTAGCGGATGGGGTCCTGGTTGGATGCTAAGTTAACCTACAGGGCAGACCTTGTGCAGGTAGGCCTTATTTTCCTCCCAAAGTGATGGGTTGTAATGAGCTCCTGTTCATGTGCCTGTGTGTGTTAGGTTTGGAGGAGACCAGCCCGTCTATATCAACATCATCAGAGACCCTGTCAGCCGGTTCTTATCTAACTATTTTTTCCGTCGCTTTGGAGACTGGAGAGGGGAACAGAATCACATGATCCGCACCCCCAGCATGAGGCAAGAGGAGCGCTACCTGGTAAGTCTCGCTTATGTGAGAAATGGTCTTGTGCTGCTCTGGAATGGTGGGAAAAGCTCACCTCTGATGGAAGCTTTTACAGGTAAAAACCTGTTCCACATGCTCCAGAGCTTAAGAAACATTTTTGCAAGTGATTTGCTCATTTGCCTTGCTCAACTTGTTGTTACTGCTAAGTTTTAGATGCCGCAGAAGAAATAGTCATTCCTCCCGAGTCTGACCTGCACTATCCTGGTTAAGAGCAGATGTGTTTGGGTTCTTCTTAGAGGATTGCAAAATTTTTCTCATCACTTGTCCTATTCATTCCCCATGAACTCCAGAAGGGAATTCCAAACGAACGTAGGGCTTGCCAGTCCCTTCTCTCCTGGGCGGGGCACCACCACAACCGATTGTTTCTGGGTCCACGCCAGCATACATTGTCACAGCAGCAATTATTGGCCTTTCTGAACCTTGTTCTGGGACTCTCACTCCATAAAGGATGCTTGTTGACCCCAGTAATTGTGAGCAAAAGCACAGAAATTGTTAGCACATTACACAGGGCAGAGTTGTGTGTCATTCTTCCAGAACCACAATGACAGCATTTCTCATCTCTTGGTGACTTGTGTTGACAAAAGCTTACGGAGTAGCCAAGAATCCTGTTTCAGAGGTGGAAGTCCCATGTCTGTGTCTGGGAGAGGCTGTTGGGCGCCCCATCCATCCTGGGCTGACAGGCACAGGGAAGATGAGAAAAAGTGTTAGAGATCAGTGCAAACATGTCTTGCTGTGGGAAGGAAATAGCACCCGCGCCCACTGCTGCTCAGTCCTCAGCCTCAGCTTTGTAGCCAAAGACAAGCAGTGTTTTCACAGGCCAGCACAACGCTCATTTTTAATTCTTAAAAATATAATAGCCAGGTATGGTGACACACACCTATAACCCCAGCACTGGGGAGGCTGAGGCGGGAGGATCAGCACAAGTTCAAGTCCAGCCTGGGCTACATAGCAAGACCCTGTCTCCAAAAACAAAAACAAAAAACAAAAACAAGTAATAAAAGTATGTGTTTGGGGTCTAAGAGACCTCATCTCTAAGAGATGAGCACATTTTGGAAATCTCCTCACCCAGTGCTGTTTGCCAGGTAATAAGAAGAACTAGAGACCAGACCCACGGCTTTTCTCTCCCGGTTCAGTGCAGGTTGACCATCCTTAATCTGAATGTCTGAAATGTCCCAATTCTGAAACTTTTTGAGTGTGGGCATAATGCCATACCTGAGACCTCATGTGACAGCTCTCAGTCAAAATGTAGACTCACCAAAAATATTGTATAAAATGACCTTCAGGCCATGTGTATAGAATGTATATAAACATAAGTGAATTTCGTGTTTAGAGTGAGGTCCCATTCCCAAGATACTATTATATGCAGCCAGGGGTATAACTCAGTGGCACAGTGCCGGCCTGGCAAGCATAAGGTCATGAGTTTGATTCCAGTGCCAAGAAAAAAAAAGAATTATGTGTATGCAAATATTCTCAAATCTGAAAAAAATATCTGAAATCTGAAATGCTTCTGGTCCCAAGCATTTTGGATAAAAGTAAAGAATGTCAACCTGTATTTGTTCAGTTACCTAAGGCTTCAATGAAATATTTTCATGGATATTTTTAAAGTGTTTTTTTACCTCGTTTTAAATATTTTTTTAGTCTTTGATGCCAAAGCCCTCATCTTTGTCTTTCAACTATGTGCTATGGATGTGGCTATGTATTTTTTTAATTCAGTTATGAGTATGTGTTCAAAGCGTAGAACCACTTACTGGGGGAATAATGTCCCCTCAAATTGTTTATTTTTTATTTTTTGTATTAGATTTTGATTAATGTAGCTACACTTGAAAAACAGAGCACATTTTATGTAATAAAAATAATAGTTCACAGTTCTGACTTAATCCAAATACTAAGAAAATTAGAATCAGATGATAGCAGATAATGCTGAAAAATCAAAGAACTCGAAACAAATCGTTGGAATTCTGTTCTTCAGGTAGCACTACAAGGTTGTGGGGAATTCTGTAGTTTTCCTACCTCTCAAATTATTTTTGCCATCCTATAAATCATTCCATATAATATAGATAGATAGATAGATAGATAGATAGAATTGTATTAACATATACAATAGAGAGAAAAATTGCAAACTGTGGGAGAGAAAAGTCATGCTTTGGATTATATTTTTTAAGCATGGGAGGTTGATAGTGGGTACAAGTCTGATGTTTCTGAGGTACTAGTAATCTGCCTTGATCATGTGACTTGACTGAGAGATTCTAAGTAAACTCACCCTGCCAGGAATTCTCCCCTTAGTGATTTGAAGAGGCTCCTTTTCCAAGTATGAGCATTGTGTTCTGGAAGGGTCTGTGTCAGATAAGTTTATCAGGTCTTTTCTTGGCAGGGGCCCACAGGGAAGCCTGTGGAAGTTGCCAAGTAGAAAATCGAGAAGGATGGGGTTAAGTGGCTAGCAGGACCCGAGGTGGGCCTGACTCCTTCGTGATCTGGCCCTAGCCTGACCTCTTGGAAGGCTGTTTTCTTGTTCAAAGGATAGTTTGTTTATTTGTAAGATGGCCTAATGGCTTTTTTTCCAATAGCTGAAACCTTTTATTCCATCTCCTTGATCCTATGAAATAAAATTGCCCCTGCCAGAGCCCATCATTTTGGCAGGCCTGGGTGGTCACTTCTGTAACTCAGAAGAGGGTGTTGTTTATGTCTCTGTGGGGCTTGGGCAGCTGTGAGGAAACACTGTCCTATCACCAAGTGCTGAGTCCAGGACAGTTCTCAAAGTTCCTGGGGGAGGGATGGAGAAATAAAGGTAAGAGTCAGAATACAGAAAGCTGAGGTCAGGTGGAGCCCTCTCTCCATATGAGAGGAAAGGAACTGCTCAACCACTGCAGCGCATTTATTTATACATTCAGCAGGTTGATGTTAGTGACACCCCTCTGCCTAGCAACCTGTTTGCGTGGCAACCTCTGCATTCTCTGAGCTAGAGCAGCTTGTTCATGTGGCTCCCCTCAGGCACTCTTTGTTCTCTGGACGACCTTGCTCCAGTCTTGCACCTGTATTCGATCACGAGCTTCAGCCACTCCCACACACGAGGCCTGGCCTGCAGCAACAGCTACAAGGGGTATTGGCCCTGGCTACACAGCGTACCCTCTAGGGACTGAACATCAAGTTTCCCTCCCTTGAGACACAGCGCACACACACACACACACACACACACACACACACACACACACTCATGTTAAGGATGCTGGCCTAAATCAGTCAACTGATTCCCACGTGATTCCAGATCTCAGTGCTCAAAAGTCTTATATTTTACCCCATTGCTGGAAGTCAGCATACTGTTCACGGTTCCAAGCCTAAAATAGCTGCTTAGTGCACAGCTGGGGGCTTCAGAGCTTGTTAGGCATGGGAAGGGTCAGTATCTCTATGGCCAGTGGTTTGAAAGAATACAGAAAAGGTGAAGAGATCTAGGATTTGCAGGTGATGCAGACACTCCCACCTCACAAATGCAGGAAGGGTCCTGAGTCTGGGAGGGTCTGGGCCTGCAGGGCTTAAAACCAGGAAGACCTTCTCTCTCACTTCTTGAATGGTAAAGAGGAGGGCTGGGGATTTAGCTCAGCAGCAAAGCACCTGCCTGGCAAGCGCAAGGTCGTGAGTTCGGTTCCCGGTACCGGAGAAAAACCAAAAAAAATAAATAAATAAAAAAAAGAATGGTAAAGAGGGTAGAGGACAGGGCTAGGAACGAGGCTCTTTGAGCAAAATTGTTTTGTATAAGAACATCTGCACCTCTTTATAAAGTTATCCTTGGTAAACAGTCTAAGTGCTCAAGCATCTTATAGCTATCCTCTGCATTTTCTGGAAGCAGCCAGGTTTTCTCAAACTTTCTATTTCTTTCTAAACTATTCTTTTTGATGTTTTCTAGAGAATAATTTTTAAATAAATGAATACAAACACAGATATTGTCACTTGATAGCAGCTGCCCTGAGGCAATGCCATGGCCATAGGCTCATTTCTCTGTCTAGAGTCCGAACTCAAGTCCTGCAGTCAAGGTGGCTGCTTCCTGTTTTTGTCTGAGAGACACTTGAGCCCAGACCCACTTGGACACAGCCCTGCACATGCACCTCTTCTCTACCTGGAGTGTGGGCTGCTTTGCTTCCGGGGCAGGGGAGTATCTAGCACACAGAATGTCACCCAAGAAAGAATGAATGACCCTGAAGGACAAGCCATTGCTGCAATCTCCAGGGAAGGCGAACATCCCATTTCTCCAAGGACCTCTACTTCCCAGCCTCCAGCTTTCCCCAGAAATGGATTTCCTCAGCTGTTCCTTTCACTTGGATGGTTGCATATGTGTGATTTGCACTTGCTCTTTGCCTAAAACCTGGCCTTGAAACTTTCGCAATGAAATATTTTGCATAGACTTCACTTTGCACTTTGAAACTCAAAAAAAAAAAAAAAAAAGGCAAGTTGGGTTGCTTCCCCAGCCGTCACTGCCACCTCACCAGGCCACCCTGCATGGAAGATCAGGAAGAGAGGGGAGAACATTTTCCCAGAGACAAAACTGGCTCTGTGATACTGTTCATTTGGTTTGGCTATAAAGTGTGGAAAGTAATGCATGTTTCAAAGAAAAGATGCGTAATTTACAGCTTCTTAATTCATAAAGAATTCAGTGAATCATGTTGGCCCTATTGGATTTGGAGAAGCCTGAAAGTTGGCCAGAGTCAGCAGAGGTTTTCAGAAAGCTATGCATTTTAATCTGCTTGAACGTTTTGGACGCTAGACGTCCTTTGGCTCTGGAAGTATACATGTGAAACCTCAGTGTGTGGAAATTTCCACTCTGTCCTGAACACTGAGGTGTCCTATGAATGAAGCCTTGGGTTTTGCCTCTATTCCTGAAGCATCATTTTTCTTAACAAAAGAAAACCAGTAAGGAATTTGGATCATCTGTTTAAGTTTTTTAGAAAATGCCTATGTTTCTTGACTCATTGAAGGAAAGGAAG